CAATGATTTGGGAGAAGTTTGATGGGATTTTCTGAGGTGGACTAAAGGTGTAATGGTGCTTGATTACAGGATGGGAAAGGCTACCAGGTTTGGTGAATAGTGTTAAATATCGCTAATTTAGAGTAAATGGGTAAGGCTGAAGTTGATGAGATTAGTTCAATGTGAGGTAATAGTTTCTTGGGAGACCTATTGTCCTTAATTATGTAAATCCTTAGGGTGGGGAGAGAGCCGTTAGTCAGCCAGCGGCTCTGACTTCACCTTCAGATTTATTTCCCAGATTTGTCTCTGGCTGGGGTCCACTTTTGTATCATTTTGGGGCCAGACAGTGTCTTGCATTTGTGATTTTTGAGGTGATATGATATGAATGAGGTTTAGGCCTCTTTCCCTCTGACCGCTCGACTACCCCACTGCGGGAGGAGTGGTCTGACTGCCAGGGCTATTTTTGGGTAGGAACGCACAGGAGCGGAGTTCCGGCTGGCTCCCGAGTTGGCCACGCCCAGCAGGAACTCATTAGCATGATAGGCCACACCCAACAGCAGAAACTCTTTAGGATTGGCTACATTAGGGGTGTGTGGCCTAACATGCAAAGGAGTTCCTGCTACAAAAAAAGGCCCTGGGTTTTGACAACAAAGAAGGTAAACAGAATAAGAAGCAAAAGGTGGGTGTGGCTGGATGACGACACTTCTGGTAACATGGGGGTGCGGCCTAATATGCTAATGAGCTGTGCTGTCAGGGGTGTGGCCTAATATGCTAATGAGCCTCTGCTGTTGGGGGTGGTCTATTATGCGAATGCGTTCCTGCTGGACTTTTTCTACAAAAAGAGCCCTGCGTGACTGCTAAACACTAGGATTCATCCAGCCTACCCTTCTGTTTCACACAGTGGCAAATCAGTTGCCCCCGGAGGGCCAACAAACAAAGCCCAGAGGGCCCAGGTTTTCCTTCCTCTGAAGTTGCCTCCTACTGCTGGCATGAAAAAGCTTACTGCCTCTGAATATGGAAATCTAGATCCATTGAAAAGACTGCCTCCCCAATTAATTAGACGGCAGGTGCTTTAAACGGAAAATAACTGCTTTCAATTCAAGTGCTGGCAAAAACTCCAGGCGGCTGATATCAACCGAGTCGAGGTGTGTCCTCCCGTCTTTCACAAGCAAAAGGGGAATCCAGCGGCTGATTAGGCAGTTGGTGGCTCAAGTGGTTAAGACGCTGAACTGCAGGCTGTGGAAGGTTGGTACTTCAGCAGTTCGAGACCTGAGTTGCCGCATGACGGAGTGAGCTCCCGTCTCTCGTTCCAGCTCCTGCCAACCTAGCAGTTCGAAAGCAAGAAATTGCAAGTAGATAAATAGGTACCACTTCGGTGGGAAGGTCACAGCGTCCTGTGCAGCTTGGTGTTTAGTCATGCTGGCCACATGACCACGGAAATGTCTTTGGACAGCGCTGGCTCTTCAGCTTGGAAACGGAGATGAGCACTGCAACCCTAGAGTCGGACTCAACTGGCTTTCGAGCAAGGGAACCTTTACCTTTACTTCCCTTCCTTGAACAGAACAATTTAGCAATGGTCACCTCGAGATTAGACCACTGTAACGCTCTCTACATGGGGTTGCCCTTGTCGCAGGACTGGAAGCTGCAGCTAGTGCGAAAGGCAGCGGCTAGGCTCTTGGTGGGTCTCCCCACGAGGGAGCACATCCAACCGGCCCTGAAGGAATTGCACTGGCTGCCGATAGCATACCGGATTCGCTCCAAGGTGCTGGCTCTTACCTTTAAAGCCCTTTATGGCCAGGAGCCGACTTACCTGAGAGACTGCCTTTCCCCATATATACCCCAGAGAGCACCACGGTCAGGGTCACAAAATCGATTGACCCTCACAGGTCCCAAGGACGCTAGGCTAGCTGTTACCAGGGCCAGGGCTTTCTCAGACGTGGCTCCATACTGGTGGAACGAGCTCCCGGAAGAGATCAGGGCCCTGCGGGACCTTTTACAGTTCAGCAAGGCCTGCGAGACGAAGCTCTTCCACCAGGCTTTTAACTAGGAGCTGCCACCACTATTAACAGCTGCAGCAGCCTGTAGAGCCTGGTCCCTGGTTGGTCATCGATCGCCTAGGTGCGCCGACCACATCTGAGGAAGATCAGTGAGCTGGAACTTAAACAACGATGGAAGGCACTCACGCGATGACGCCATCATTATGACCTCAAACAACAAAGCGAGCACTTTAACATCGTATTGTTTTAACGAATTGTTTTTAAATGTTTAATGAACTTTTGATTATTATTGTGAATCTTATCCCATGTAAGCCGCCCTGAGTCTGCTCCGGTGGGGTAGGGGTAGGGTGGGGTATAAATTGTGAAATAAATAAAATAAATAAATAAATAAAACTTCTGAGGTTCCACGCCCAGAAGATGACAAAAAACCTCCAGGATCCCCGGCCAAACTGGCCTGGAGAAAAATTGCTGCCTGATACCAAAGTGGCGATCGGCGTTTCCCGGGGCGTGTAAGAAAGGGCCACAAGAACTAAGCACTGAGGCAACCCTTCCTGCCCTCCCTCTCCTGATTTGCCCAAGTTCACAGAATCAGCATGGCTGTCAGATGGCCATCGAGCCTCTGCTTAGAAGCCTCCAAAGAAGGAGAGCTCACCACCTCCTGAGGTGAAGAACCCTGCTGAGTCAGAAGGTCTGCTTAGTCCAGCGCCCAGTTTCCCACGGTCGCCAGCCAGTTGTGAACGAGTACCAGGGGATGGAGTGGCTAGAGCGTCGGAGAAGGATCAGGGTGACCTGAGTTCGAATCCCTGCTGTTCCGTGGAAGCTTGGCCCAGATGCACACACTTTCAACCTAACCTACCTCACGGGGTTGTCGTGAGGATAAAATGGAGAAGAGGAGAATGCGATAGGCCGCTTTAGCCCCTACCGGGGAGAAAAGGCGGGGGTCTAAAGGATCTAAATAAAGAAAGGCTCTCAGAAGAACTATAAACAGAGGCACAGAGCCCAAACCCTCCTCCTGCCGTAACTGTCCAACAACTGTTTCTCAGAAGTCAATTGCCCCAAACATGGATTTCCCATTTACCCATCACACTTAACAGCCATTAACTGAGCCATACTCTGTGAATTCGCCTTACTCTCGTTTAAAGCTACTTAAGCTAGGTGGCTCCCTAGAAGCTAAAATGACTAAAGTTAGGCTATTGTAATTGGGTCACACTATGAGAAGACGAGAGTCACCGGGAAAAGACAATAAGTTGAAGGAAAAGTGGAAGGCAGCAGGAAAAGAGGAAGGCCCAACGGGAGACAGACGGACTCCCTCAAGGAAGCCACAAGAAGAAGAAGAAGAAGAAGAAGAAGAAGAAGAAGAAGAAGAAGAAGAAGAAGAAGAAGAAGAAGAAGAAGAAGAAGAAGAAGAAGAAGAAGAAATTGGATTTATACCCCGCCCTTCACTTGGAGTCTCAGAGCTGCTTACAAACTCCTTTCCCTTCCCCTCCCCACAACAGACACCCTGTGAGGTGGGTGGGGCTGAGAGAACTCTGACAGAAACTGCTCTTTTTCGAGAACAGCCCTGCCAGGACTATGGCTTGCCCAAGGTCATCCAGCCAGGTGCAAGTGGAGGAGTGGGGAATCAAACCCGGTTCTCACAGATTAGAGTCCGCACACTGAACCAATACACCAAACTGGCAAAGGCCCTCTGTTTGCAAGACCTGGGCAAGGCTGTTAACAATGGGATGTTTTTGGAGGCCATTCATTCATAGGGTCGCAAGAAGTCAGAAGTGACTCGACAGCGGTTACTGCACACCCCCACTCACACACAAGCTAGTGGCTGCTCTGATCTGGAAGCAAACCCACATTGGAACAGAAATTCCCTTCTGCATTGCATGTTGTCTTCCCTTCCTTTGATTATCAGATTCTTCGGTACCCTCTGCATTGCACGCTGCTTTTGCTTTCTTTGGTCACCGGGTTTTAGGGTACCCTCTGCATTGCAATGCCGCTTTCACTTTCTTTGATCATCGGATTTTTTTGGTACCCTCTGCATTGCAATGTCACTTTCACTTTCTTTGATCATCGGATTTTATGGTACCCTCTACGCTACATGCCACTTTCACTTCCTTTGACCATCGGGTTTTATGGTACCGTCTGCACTGCATGCCGCTTTCACTTCCTGTGATCATCGGATTTTATGGTACCCTCTGCATTGCATGCCACGTCTGCTTTGTGTGATCGTTGGGTTTTATGATACCTTCTGCATAGCTTTATGGCCGTTTTATGGCCCCTTGGGTGACTTTGCAGTCATTACGGCACTGGCCCGGGGTATTTGAATGTGGTTTTGAGTTGCACCTTTCCCTCAGTGTTGAGAAAACGTGGCGCAGATGCCAGATGGAGAACCAGCCCAGATCTCATCAGCTATCAGAAGCTAAGCAGAGTCGGACTTGATGAGTACTTGGGTGGGAAGCAACCAGTCGAGTCCAGGGTCACGACACAGAGACCTCTGTTTGCCTTGTGCCTCGTAAGCACCTTCGGGGGTCTCCAAAAGTCGGCCGTGCTTCGACGGCACTCTCCACCACAAAGCTAGCGGCTGTCATGATAGAATGTGGCAAGGAGTTCCACAAGCCACCAAACAGTTAATCAACTGATGGAAGCCGGCGATGAAGAAATGAACAATGGCGTCAGCTGGTGAGGCCTTGTGCCGTGGGTATATTTCCTAAGGATTGTCTGGCCACTCCTGGAGACAGGACACTGGGTTAGGCTGAGCCCTGATTGCATCTCTTCTGGTTTCTTCATAGATCCATACCTGGGGCCTTACACACAGGCGCAGGGTGTAGGTGGTACTCTGTGTCACCGGCAGCCAGAGCAAGAAGGCGGAAAGACAGGATTCTCCAACTGCGCAATCGGATCAGTGCCAAGGCCCAGGTGAGTCGTTAAGCTTCCCGGAGGAACGCCCCAAGAGTGTCGGCATCCCTCGGGAAAAAAAACCAACAACAGAGGGGATGTTTCTCTGTAAAAGGAAGCCGACTCAGGCCTCGTGACACAGGTGCAAGGTGAACGCCAGGGGTGGGAGGGACCAGATCTGACAGAGCCCATCCTCAAATACAAGAAGATCCAGAAAGACACCGACAGACCCGGGCGACTTTTGCAGACGAGAACAGGCCACGAGCGCAGCAGTCATGCACGGTAAGCCACTCACATGTGCGAGCTTAGGGGAACGGGTGGGAAGCCGAGGAAGGGGCTGCCGTAACAGGACCCGATGGCACCAGGGTTATTGCTTCAATTCGGGCTCTGTAGTGAGGAATGCAGCGTGCCGCTACAAGTCGTGGGGGGAACTCCGTCGTCCGACCGACCTGCCAAAAAAAGCCAAGGTTCTGTAAGAATGAAAAGATCGAGGTGGAAAGGAAGAGACTGAGAAATGGGAATGGTGCTGAAAACAGGTTTTGGGGGGAAGGGTCTCTATGCCACGCGGGCAGCGGCAAACTGTCCATGGCTGCCGCTTACCTGGAAAGCTCTACGGGGTTGCTGTAAGTCAGCCGCGACTTGATGGCTTTCTACCACCTCTCTGTGCCACCCAATCCCAAATTGTGTTGTGGATGGATGTACAGTCTATCGTTTTGGTTTATGTGAACGGTCTGCAGATGCATCCGTACCATGACGAGGAAGCACGGACTTTGCCAGGGAGGCATAATTCAGTGGCATGAAAAGATCAAGACCAAAGGGGTCTGTGGCTCTTTGGTAGAGCATCTGTTGGGCATGCAGAAGATCCCAGGCTCAATCCCCAGATCAGGTAGTAGGTGATGCGAAAGACCTCCAACCTGGGGAGCTACCGCCCATTTGAGTAGACAATACTCAATGGACCGAGGGTCTGCTTTAGTATAAGGCAGCTCCATGTGTTGATGTGGGGAGAAGTCTTGCTTCATCAGATCTAGCTCAGCAGATTTAGGATGAAGCCCACCAGTTAGGTGTCCCACCAGAAATTTGCCAACTGTCTTCTGGGATACTGCCGTCTGGTCTCTGGCCACCCCTGTTGTGTTTTGATGGACACGCACGTCAAGCAAGGGGACACACTGGGAAGTTAGTAGACTGATACATTAACCATTCAGTCTCAAATGTTCTGTTCGCCTGAGCCCCTTGACCTCAATGGGATCAGAAAGGCTTAACTCTGATCAGGATTGCACCATTGTAAGACATGGTAGGACTTCTCAGGATGGAGTGACCTTTAGAGGATCCTACATGTTTCTAACAGACCCCTGCCCCCTTGGGATCTGCTAGAGGAGCCTAGACGTGGTCTGTCCCTTCCTGGCCTGTTGTAATAATCGCTGGTGTTTGGGGTCATTTTTGGACTAGGTGCCGACGACCCAGCTCTTTCTTCGAATTCAGACCCGGAATTTTCTCCTTCCTCTGTCCCTTTTGCTCTTCTTTTATTGTTTGTAAGCCAGTTGCCCTGAGATTGTTTTGAGACGGTCCATCATCTTGTGCAGGAGAGGGGATGAATGTATGGCAATACTTAACCGTGAAGCTTTTTGAGCAGTCAGGGCAGGGCGCGGACACGGTTCCAATGACCTGTAGGGTGGGTAGGTCAGTATTATTTGTTCAGATGGGAAGACTGAGGCTGGAGGATTGGGTCTTGACTGCTTTGCGCAGTGGTTAGAATGCTGGACTAGGATTTGGGAGCCCTGGGTTCGAATCAACACTCTGCTGTGGAAGCTTGCTGGGTGACCTTGGGCAAGTCACCCATTCTCTCTCCCTCTCTCTTTCTCCCTCCCTCCCTCTCCCTCCTTCTTCCTCTCCCTCTCTCTCTTTCAGCGCTCTCTCTCGCGCTCTCACAGTGTAACCTACCTCACAGGGTTGTTGTTGCGAGTATAAAACAGAGAAGGCAGGAATGATGTTTTTATTTATTTTTATTTATTATTAAATTTATACCCCGCCCTTCCCCACTTTGTATTCCTGTGGGGGAGAAAAAGCGAGGTGCAAAACAAACAAACAAACAAACAAATTTATTAAGAACAGTCATAAGACCAGCAAAATAAACCAAATAGTACAACACCGAGTCTACGACATAGAATCCTTGCAGCCTTAAATACTAAAATACGAAACCGGTCAATTCCGTCATTAATGGCTCGAGTTACAGTACATTCTACGCTTTTTAATTACCAGATAACAATATTTAGCAACATTGCGTGAGACAGAGTCATAAGTATTGACCAATAAGAACTTCATCAAACATTCCTCGGCATATGTAAGATAATTAGCCAAGGGTTTAAAACGTGAGAGAAGGGGCGTCAGCAACTGCTGTCTCTCTTCGTTCGTACATAGGACAATGGAGTAATTAAGTACCTAAGCAAATAAACCGCTTTGGCCACCTTGGTCAAAGGTGAGCTGTGGCCTCTGTCTTTGCCACTGCATGGTATTCCTTCCCAGACTGACGCCAGATATAGAATATTTATTTACCTTTATGTATCCTGCCTCTCTCCCCAAAGGAGACCTGAAAAAGCTTACCCTGTTCTCTCCTCCGTTTCATCCTCACAACCCCCTTATGAGGTAGGTCTGGCTGAGCAGGTGTGACTGGCCAGAAGTCAGCCCCCAAGCTTCCATGGCAGAGTGGCGATTCGAACCCGGGACCTCTCAGATCCGAGCCCGAGAGTCTAACCACTCCACCACGCTGGCTCTTAGATATCCTTGACTTCATCTATGGAGAGGGAAAGACGGGCTAATGAAAAAAAGAGAATGCAGTCTGAAAGCAAAACAAGAGACAGGGACATTTAGGGGGCAGACAAAGGAAGAAGAGCCAGAACGAGTAGTTTTTTGTCTCTAATAGGTTAGGGGGCAATTCGTCATCTTTTATCCCATCCATTCGCCACGACATTGAACTAAACCCAGATATTATCCCAATCGAGATACGAGAAATGTTTACAGAAGACCAAGTTGTTGAGGATCCATACAGGGTTAGATCGGGATAGATCTGTGTTCAGAGAATCTGCCCTCGCTCGACTGATCTTTTCCCACCAGGATAATGACTTCCTTCATGTCGGAATGGCTCGCTCTGTGCTAAGCAGCCTCGGATCGGGGCCCTATCTGTGATCGTTCCCCCCCCGAGGGAAGCTAAATAGCAAAGGTGGCATTTATCGAAGCACAAAGAGATCTAGGTCAAGTGCCTAAAAATTAAAGATGCCGGGAAACTCTGGACCCAAGTGGAAGTTGGCAGTGGATTCTCGCCAAGTTGCTTCCTAGGGTCAAGATAATTATAAGGGTGCCAAGCCTGTTGGAACAGGCACTCCAGGGATGGAACCATGTACAGGGATACGGGAATTCATATGAACGAGGAGAGCATGTTTGAGCATGCGCAGAGAACTCTCTCCCCTCCTTTTAGCTCTCACACATCCCGGATTGGTTTATTATTTATTATATGTTTATTTAAAATGTAACTATGCTGCATATTCCACCAAAAGCAGTTTGGTGTCGTGGTTAAGTGCGCGGACTCTAATCTGGGAGAACCGGGTTTGATTCCCCACTCTTCCACTTGCAGCTGCTGGATGACCTTGGGCAAGCCATAGTTCTGACAAGAGCTGTCCTTGAAAAGAGCAGTCCTCTCAGAGCTCTCTCAGCCCTGCATACCTCACAGGGTGTCTGTTGTTGGGGGGGGGGAGGAAAAGGAGTTTGTAAGCCACGCTGAGACTCTGAGTGAAGGGTGGGATATAAATCCAATCTCCTCCTCCTCCTCCTCCTCCTCCTCTTCTTCTTCTTGAAATATTCCAGACCAGAGGAAGCGAACGTTTGTTCACAAAATCCCAAGCAGAGCATAAAGCCCCATGTCGTCCAGTATTCTGTGGCCTGTGCATCCCCCTACCTCCTATTCCCAAGCAACCATAACTCAAAGGTAGACTGCTTCTGAAAATGGAGGTTCCGCTTAGCCATCATGACTCATGGACCTCGATAGGCCTTTCTAAAAGCATTTGAAACTACTGGCCATCGCCTCATCTTGTGACAGTTCAGTTCCCACAAGTTAATTACACTTTGTGTACAGGTCTTCCTGTTTTTTAATTGGGATCCTACTGTCAATCCATTCCAATGAACCTTGCGGCTGATGGGAACTGGAAATTAACCGCCTGCCTCGCGGATTTGGAAGCCTCCGCTTCAAAGAAGGGGGGAAGGGGCTGAGAAAGGAACTCCCAGCTCTGGAAAGCATGGCAGAGAGGGAGGGAGGGAGGGAAGGAAGGGTGGGAAGGACGGCAAGAACGGGAAAAGCCAGGGGCTGAGAGGTAGCATGTCCTTTCTTGTTTGATCTGATTCGCACCAGACGCTTGCTGAACTGGCCCTTCTGAATCATCACGCTTTATCCCCGTTCTCCGTCGGAAAAACTTGGCTCAGTTGAAGAAAATCCCACCAGTTTCAATCCTGAGCTAAATGGGAGCTTGGGGGGGGGGGGGGATGTAAGGCCCTTTGAGATTAGGCA